GGTTTCTGCTGATGCACTACGGTTGATTCGACAATCCCAGTCATTGCGATGCAATTCAACAACAGCAACTACCCGTATGACTAAACTCACACGTGCGTGCAAACAGGCCAGTTGGCATGCGCATATCTTGCAGTGCGTGGTTAGCCAAGACTCGAGTTAATTGTGAAGAAGAACACCTCCACCTACAGTAAAGGCCCACTGTCTATCAAACTGAATTCGCTATTAAATGCAATTTGAATAGTTCCACTTGGGAAACACAGCACACATTCAGCATAGACAAGACTAGTTCTCTAGGCTGCTGTCAGCTGGGTCACGTGCGTCGTAGCTTCTTGTGAACAGTGTTGGTGTCTGTCACACTGTGGTTCTCCTCTTGTTCACAAACTCCCCCCACACACACACACACGCCAAAACCACCTAGTGGATAAACGATTCTGTCCACGCATTTGTCATTAACGTAAGCGCGTTTACAGAGATTTTGTGAAGTGGGACCAATGAAAGGCAAGGCGTGGATGATAGTTACCGCCCAGCCAAACGCAAGCCTATTCGGACAAGTCCACCACTCAATCGCCTCCACAGACTCCGCTGCGGCTGTCCGGTGAGCCCAGATGGTGACAGCTCACAACCGACTTGTATCAATCGCAGTAAATCAGTGACGTTTGTTTAAGTGAGTTCAGCGGCGTGATGTCGGGAAGCACAAACATTACCGACCCCGAAAGCAGGCTTTCATTCTCTGTGACGCGAACTTTCGCCCCCCCTCCATGGCTGTCTGGGAGATGTCTCGATGCACAGTGCACCCTTCGTTGAAGCATTCTTGGTGGTCGCGTGAGTTCTCGTCTGGTTATTAATCATCTGCTCTTGTGCCAACCGCTGCATCAGCTGATCGCAGTCAAGTGAGCTTGGTTTCTGCTGATGCACTATGACCTCTCGGAGAATGATTCTCCTCTGCGCGCGTGTGCTTGTAACCACCTCGAGGCTGCCTGGTATGCAAATAACGCCTCCTCCCCTCACTCTTACACCCACCCACCAACGTAACCGCCTCTTCGATTCTGTTCTGCGCTAAGTAGTGTCCTGTCGCTGTAGGTACTTTTCTTTTGGTAAAGGCGTGTGCCTTTTAACTGGTAAACTAGTGATGCGTGTGTGTGTGTGTGAGTGTGTGCGTTTCCCAGCTTCAACCGCCTCCTTCTGCGGGTAAGCGCTTGAATTGGGCTTGTTTTGGCACATCAGTGCAGCTCGCATTTTGTCTTGTCAAAATCCATGTGAGGTAACAGAAAGGAATCTTGCTTTGGTTTTATTCATCTGTTACTGGCACATGTTCAGTAGAAATGTACTTAGAGTTCGGATCATGCGCGATTAATCCAAGGGGGCGACACAGACCGACAGTATTTTGGACAAATTTGCTAAGCAGGTCGACTAGCATCATAAAATCAGTGGTTCCCGAGGCTAAGTCAGTGACTCCTTGGATCCCCCCCAATTAGTCACGCATTCGGTGAATCAACTTACGAAAAGTCCATCCACACCGCACTTTCTCATCGGCGATCGATGAAATTAAAGCACTCTGCCAATGTCTTTGGGATGATTACGTGTCCTGCGGCAAAACACAAATGATTTTCAAAGCTTTACATAATCTTGTCACGTACTTTACTCATTGCTTTCAAAACCACTGATATGCTACAACACAGAAGCCCCATAACGTATGAACTAATCGCATCTGTCGAATATGCAGCCATTGATAGCGCCCTGTACAAGTGAGATTTGCACATCCCTGCTTGTTTCAATTCCTCATTGTTACCTGCAATATTCACATCATCTTCATCATCATTATCTGGAATTAACCTAAACTGGCAATTCCAGTTGTCGGAACTCGATCGACCATACAAAATGTCGGTCAAATTGTGAGGAGAACTTGCAGGACACCTGAAACCACAAGGCCCACAGCACTTTTGGGAGTTCACGACATGGTTGAACTGCCATCAATGCGCTGGGGCCACGAAGCTTGAAGGACACATCTGTTCAACAGTTGGCTGGACCAATCATGCATCATATTCATTATTGTAAATTTGTGCAATTTAACAGGCACAATTTAGATCCTGGAAATCGCAGACAAAATGTGACTTGTTCTCCAGTCATTTGCGGTGATAGGGGCAGAAGAAATGTGGACGCAAATTCGCCAGTTGGTAGAAAAAGCCAAGAATCAGCATGTTGAGGGGTTGTGCGTCCAACCAAATTATATCTTAAAAACATGTTGGATTTGTAGCAGTCACTTCTCCTGTTAGTGTAGGAATTACAAGCAAAAATTGCGGTGTGTACCAACATGGCAACTGACGGTTTGTGTGGAAATTGACATACTTTCGCGGTGTTTTGTGGTTTTGAAAGGATTGGATTCAATGTTTTACAACACCGAATGACGTGTCTACGTGACGTACATAAATCCACAGAACAATTGAGCATACGACGATGGCAACTGATAAACAGTAAATTCGACAACACTGCATTTTACATGATCTCCAACAAGTCATTCTTGCCTCTCCGAAAGCACGGTTGCCCTCCACAGCAGCCTCGACAGTTTGAAGATGCGAAATTGCAAGCCCTCCAGCAAGAAGACTCAACCCAAACGCAACAGCAGCTTGAAGCAGCTCAGTTAGGACTCACACAAACCACCTATTTCCAAGCGCATGCACAATCAATTGGCAACAATTCAAACACATGGAAGTTGGACCCCACGTGTGTTGATCACAGACAACCACGGTTAACACATGCTTTTTACTGCTTGCCCACCAACAGCAGCAACAGCAGCAAATTGTGAATGCACTTCCTGTGGATATTGTGACAGGTAGGAAGGAGTTTATCGCTTAGGAGAATCCCAAAGGCAATACGTTGAATCGTGATTAGATGCTAATCAACCCTGTACATCTACTTGAAGAAGCCATCTGCGTATGTGGTGACACGTGAGGGGTGTACTTTATTCGAAGTCGATTAGGCGTGTGGTGAGCCGGGGACCGCGGAAGACTACAGCCGAAAATTGAACAAACTGAGTGAAGAGCCTGATCAGGAACGGCCATTCACTGTGCAAGGAGGTTTCTCTTGCGACGGCATTCGTACGTTACCTGAGAGAAAGATGGCGCAAGGTGATAGAAACCCATGGACAATTTGCCCAAGTTTGTGTACGCTGTTCTCTTTCTTTATGAATCTAATAAATTTCATTTAAAATCTGTTAGAAATAAATCATCCATCTAAGATTACTTCGAATATGATGTTGGAATTGACCGAACATTGGTAGTCAAGGCACTTTGGCAACCTTCCAGTAAAATTCAATCAGAGTAGGATGGTAAATCTCTCTATTACTGATATGTTGCACCTCCGACTTACTCAGTCAACGCAGAAAAACCTAGGAGCATTCAGCAACTTGGTACAACAAGTGTGGTTTCTTTCTCGTTGACGAACATGCATGACTGGATCGTGAGCCTTTTTCTCACCCATCATTTTATTCTTACTCACATGGTGTAGACCGCGTCGATTACCGACGGCTCACAGCTTTTTCGTTTCATTTCAGATTTGATATCTCACTAAAATGTACAACTGGAAATCTTGTCATTATCTTTGTCGTAACTCAACGTCATGAATACACCGATTATCAAACAGATGCACTCAATAACTAACACGTTGTACTTTTGACTGCCGAAAAATGTTTACACAAGCCAAACGTGACGGCACACCAACTGTTTATGGTGTCCAACCTTGGTGAACCTTATTAGAACGCGATTTGTGAAGCAGTTTTGATCCGTGCTATAGATATAAAGTTGTAACAATTGCCTGTGCTGTGACTTAATCAAAAGAAGTACGTCGGTGCGTTCAGTATTCAAACTGGAAGTAGATCTTAAAGGCTTCCAGGACAAGTTCAGCTCATGAAAGCGACTACTTGAGGTCTGAATTGCATGCGACGTCAGCGAGAAATTTGTAACATCGGTAAGTGGTTACGAATCGATTCACAGGAATGCACACTAATTTTCAGAAACTAAATAATTCTCGTTCAGGCGTAGAATGAGCGGCACAAGCGTCTTGACAGTTATTTATTAACTCGCACAAATAGTTTAAACAGGGAAAAACAATGGCGTCATTGGCTGCTGGGATATTGCAATCCTAATTTGTAATAATCGTGCATTCACGACTTCAGATCACCATGCAACCTTATCGTTTTCAAGTACATAAACAGTATAAATGTTATTTGTCAAATTTACAGGAACTAAGAGATTATTTGCTAGCAATTACCACGACATTTCACCTCATTGGAAAGTTGAGTTAAATCTTGCGTCGTCATGTTGCTAGCCAATCAAACATGGTGTTGTACTTGGGAGGAACAATTGCCAACTGGCAAATACGTCTTGCCGTTTGTGTGTACGCTGAGCTGCAGCTGATTTAACAAGCATTGAAATCGACCGATAAAATGTATCTGGTGAGGAATCGAGTGTCAAACTGTCGTGCTATAGGTGAACACGCCAAAGCCATGACCACATTTTGCAAAGTTCTTGAGTTTGGAGGGTTCAAAATGTGCACAAGTGACATTTGTGATGAACCTTCTACCCGTAATGCCCTATTATTTTTTGATCGAATCAACATCTCCTATTTCAACATCGATGGACACCCAGCCGTTGATAACGATATCCACGGACTTCGTTTAACCAATTTATGGGTTGCAGCTGATCAAGCTTGTAAAACACATTCAACAGTTTTTCGCACACAACTAAGGCGGTTACCTCAATTTAAACAATCTGACGAATTGTCATGGACGTGTACTTGACCTTGAAAGGAATAGTACAAAGCGATAACAGTCACGTCCTCAAGTACCATCCTAGTCGCGTAATGCTGTGCACTGTCGAAGCCATTCTCTCGGACAATCAGTGAATTGCAGGGTGTGTGCCCACCAAATATGTTCACGCACTGATCCTTTATAAATAGCGCCAACCACAGTGCATGTCAGACCTCTGCAGCACACACCGATAACCATGTTAGGCGGGGAAGGTCTGGCTCTTGTTGTGGACAACGGCTCCGGCATGTGCAAGGCCGGTTTCGCCGGAGACGATGCCCCCCGTTCTGTCTTCCCCTCCATCGTTGGTTTTCCGCGTCGTCAGGTTTGTATCCAACCATTTTCTGATTTCATTGCTTCCACCTGAAGCTCGAAGTCACATTTTCTGGCACTCGCCGACTACACCATACTAGTATTGGTTGTACATTAACACTTTCGTAGGCTCCCAAATGGGTCACTGATTTTGCTTGCGGTCCATTATGCCACCATTAAGGTTCAAACAGACGGCATCAGTACCGGTTTTCCATCAGTCCAACTAGATGGACACTCGTTCTTCCGACACGTCAACTTGATTAGGAGGTTTCACAACTACCACTAGTTGCCTCGAATATATCTGGTCGGTCATTTAGCCAATGGCAGATAAATTAGTTTTAAATGCAACATTGTCCACATCTTGAGTCCCTACACATAGTTAGATGCATCAAGAAAACCGAGTTGGCGCTAGCGACTCAGGAGGCAGCATAGACTGATCTTTATCTGTTTTCGTGCATGTGAGCATTCCTTGGCAAGTGGTATTCGCCAGGGCGCAGCCGTAAGATGAAAAGGTAGCAGACACAATAGAGACCTGGTGAGACAGTGATTGCTATCTCCTTCTTACTCTGCGTCTTTTTTGCGCGCTTCCGAGGGAGTATTTGGCTGCGGTGTAATTAGCGTCTATGAATTGTTTCTTCAAGGGTGTCATGGTTGGTATGGGACAGAAGGACAGCTATGTGAGCGACGAGGCCCAGTCAAAGCGTGATATTCTCACCCTGTCGTACCCGATTGAGCACGGTATCATCACGAACTGGGACGGCATGGAGAGGATCTGGCAATACACCTTCTACAACGTGCTTCGTGTTTCTCCGGAGGAGCATCCAGTTCTCCTAACTGAGGCTCCGCTGAACCCCAAGGCCAACCGCGAGAAGATGGCCCAGATCATGTTCGAGACATTCAACACCCCGGCGATGTACGTCGGCATCCAGGCAGTCCTGTCGCTGTACGCCTCTGGTCGTACCTTTGGTATCGTCCTCGACTCTGGTGATGGTGTCACCCACAGCGTCCCCATCTACGAGGGCC